GCTTCGCGAAAACTTATGTCTCTATTTGAATGCCCAAGAATAATTAACCATTTCACCTCATCAAAGATCAAGTGGTCATTTATCCTCGAAAAGGCCCCGTGGTGGGGTGGATTCTATGAAAGAATGATCAAATCAGTGAAAAGATGTCTACGTAAAACACTAGGGAACGCGCGACTTACGTATGAAGAACCCCTTACGGAACTTGTCGAGATAGAAGCCATTCTGAATTCGAGACCACTAACATATACATCAACAGAAGATTGCGAAGAACCCGTTACACCATCACATCTCATGCATGGTCGAAGACTTCTTTCCTTGCCAACGCAAGACGAAGTGGTAGACAAAGATTGGGAACCAACGTCAAAGGATATTGCAAAACGAGAAAGGCACTTGGCTTCTCTACTAGATCACTTCTGGAGAAGATGGAAAACCGAGTATTTATTGGAATTGAGAGAAGCGCATAGAGACAGAAAATCGGTACAATCGAATAAAGAATTGATAAAGATAAGTGATATCGTAATCGTGCATGACGAAAACCGTTCTCGAAGTCTTTGGCGACTTGGCAGAGTGATGCACTTGGTTCGTGGTAATGATGGTAAGGTTCGTGGAGCTAAAGTGAAAGTCGCGTGCTGAGAGAGGCAAGAAACCAACAACGCTTCGACGTCCTATACAAAAGCTGTACCCAATTGAAATCGGTAATCAGGACATAACCCAACAGAAAGTAGACATGGACTCAACAACAATCCAACCTTGGAAAGAAGAACCTACTCAGAGACCTCGACGGCAGCAGTCAAGGCCACAGAGAAACGAAGAGAATTGATACGAAACGAACAGTTATAAACTGAAATGAGTTGATCACAACTCGGGTGATCAACGGGGGGAGTGTGCTATACTTTATGTTAGATTTATATATTGAAACACTGAACTGCATATATAACTGGAAAGTAGATTATCACGTGACTTTTGATGTTGTTCAAGATGGCGTGAGTTTGTAATAAGCAAAGCAGTTTATTCGCTTTATATTTGGAATACTGACTAAGTTTTGTATATATTTATAATTATATTAAATGGTTATTGTTATATACATCTTCGAATCCTGATCTAGGATATTCAATATGAAACAATATATTTAGTATTATAATAATATATTCAGTAGATTTGCATGTTTGTAATTACAGTATAAATACTAGTGTCATTAAATGCTTGGAGTCGTTTGTGCTTATTACTGTTAATACACGCGTTGTCTGTGATAATATTACATGGTGTCAGGAGAAGAAAATTGAGAGATTTTTAAGGCCTCCGCCTGAGATGAATTTCTCAGACATAGAACAGATAGATCTTGCTGAAAGATGGAGACGATGGCCAGAACCCATGGAACTCTATTTGAGGCTTAATATGGCCGAAAGCGCCGAGAAAGAACAATGTGATGCTTTTCGATATATAATCGGGCAAGACGGCCGCGATATCTACAATACGATGGCGTTTACAGTGCATGAAGTCGACAAAATTGATATCTTGTTCGCTAAATTTGAAGAGTATTGTAAGCCGAGAAAAAACATTATCATGGAAAGATATAAATTCAATACTCGAGTCCAACGAAAAAACGAGACAGCCGATCAGTATGTTACAGAGTTGAAGCTCATTGCGAAGAATTGTAATTTTGGCAGCTTAAAAGACGAGTTAATTCGAAATCGCCTTGTGTATGGGACCAACTCGGAGCGAATAAAAGAGCGACTATTACGCGGAGAAGAGGAATTGACTTTGGTCAAAGCTTTAAAGATTTGTCGGGCAGATGAACAGTCTAACAAACAATTAAAAGCGATGAATGGAGAAAACGAAGTCCATACAATAAAGAAACAAACTGCATGGAAAGACAGACAGCAAGAGTAAGAATTTCGCGAAGCGTGACGACAAGCAACAAGAATTTAAATGCAAAAATTGTGGGAAGTCTCATGCATCGAAGCAGTGCCCAGCGTACGGGAAAACATGTTTCAACTGTGGAAAGAATGATCATTTTTCTAAAGTCTGTCGAGCGAAGAGGAAAGTAGGTCTCGTTGAACAAGATAAAAGTAAAGAACATTTGGAGCCTTTGTTCATCGGAGCGGTAAATTATTCATCAAGCAAGAGCAACAACAACGACGAAGATGAATATTTTAAAACACTTGTGATGCAAGACAAACAAATACAATTCAAGATCGATACCGGTTCGCAAGCTAATATACTCCCCGTAACAACGTTTAGAAGTTTAAAAGATGTCCAGCTCGAGACGACAGCAGTCAAACTCACAAGCTACACGGGAGAACATTTGCCGGTATTGGGACAATGTTACTTGAAATATAATGACAAAATTTTGAAGTTTTTTGTCGTTGACACGAAGCAAGTACCTATCTTGGGTTTACAGACCTCGAAAGATCTGAACTTAATCAAGTTGGTTATGAACGTAAAGTTATCAAAGCGAGAAAATACGACGGCGAAATCTGTCAATGATATGGCCAGTCAATTTCCTAAAGTTTTTCAAGGACTTGGTTGTTTGAAGAAACCCTATCATATCCAAGTGGACCCGAAGGTTACTAGTACCAGTTGTGAGCACATTGAAGAGTCAACCGGTAGCGCTGGGAGATCGACTTAAACAATCCTTGGATGAAATGGAAGCAGATGGGGTAACCGAGAAAGTCGATCAACCAACTGAGTGGGTGAATTCTGTTGTAGTGGTAGAGAAACCTAACAGCAACAAGTTACGGATTTGCCTAGAC